TGGACTGAGCATGTGAGCAACGATGTGGTCTTGGAGAGGATGCAAACAAGGAGAAAACTTATGCTTAACATAAGGAAGAGGCAGATGAATTCTCTGGGACACGTGATGAGAAAGGAGGGCTTGGAGATTCTGATACTCACGGGATGAATAGAGGGAAAAAGAGACGGGGGAAAGCAGTGCATGACATACGTGGCGGGGCTTGGGCAGGGGGATGGCGGAACGTGGTCTGGGGTTAAGAGCCATAAGGGATGTGGACGGCCATGATCGCCTACGTCCTGAAAAGACACCATTTTTGATCTGATGTTTAAGTTAAGTATATTTTTTCACTGAATTCAATTTGGAAACTATTTTTGTTGTTGTTTTTTTTTTTACCATCGACTTGGTTATGCACATATCACTCAGGAGAGCATCACTTCTACGGAGGTGGGGAGAGGGGAATCATTTACGGGTATTCCAGACAAGTCGAATGTTGAGTTGGATGAAAATTTCTGAGCAAATCATTCAGCCTTATCTGCTGTGGATGTCAGAACTTCGAATTCGTTGAGTAGAGGAGGGATTGAGGATTTGCTGTTGTTCAGCAGAGTCGCCAATAATCTCTTGAACCGAACTGTCAACAAAGAGTAAATCACGCTTGCATTCATTATGAGCAGAGACAAACAGACGTCTATAGCAATGGAACTTGTCGCCCTGGTACAATCGGAAGAAGTGATTCCTGTGGGATTTAGCAAGCAAGAGAACCAGGGAGATGAATGATGTTTAACTTGGTATTTCCTCGCTGGAATGAAGGCATCAATTCTGGTTTTCACCCAGGAGGAGACCACAGCGCGCATTTCTGAATGGGGTGATTAAAAACTACATTCCAAGGGAATGTCTTGAAGGAAATTACGGAATGAGTCCCAATTTTCTCATTGATAGCAGAAAGATATTATTTTGGTAGGAGGGTCATGGCAGGGGCAGGAGCGGAAAGAGATGTTTACAAATACGACAGCGTGATCAGAATTACCAAGAGGGCAGCGCTGCATAATAGTACGACAAGAGTCAGGGATAGAGGGTAAAACAAAGATCGAAAAGAGAGGCGTTTCAATCCGGGTTAATGAGGAAACGCGTGGGGAAATTAACCACTTGCGACCTAATCAAGTCGTAAGTGGTTGATTTCCCCACGCGTTAAAAGTTAAGGTTTTGGATGCCAGCGAGGTTAGTGGCAGAACGTTTATGCTATCTGCTATGGTGGGCGTTAAGGTCTCCGAACGCGAATATGTTTGCAATCGGGTATAGGGAGATGGTCTTGTTTATATTATCGGGAATACTATTTAACACGCCACAGCCTTGAGAAGAAGGGGAACGGTAGAGGAAGAAGAAATAGCTGACTGAGTTAAGTAGAGAGAGATAGAGACACAAGTATGGAAATTCAAGAGAGGGTTGCCTAAGCAGCGAGAGATGTTTGTGGACATAAACTCCCAGGCCATACATGTGGAGTTGATAGTTCTTTCTCAGTAGAGGAAGGTAGCCAGGAATCGAGAAATCAGAAGAAGGGTTAGAAGAGTTTAGGTTAGTCTTGCAGAGAGCTAGAATTTCTGGAAACTTTTCGAAAAGGAACGATTGTACACTGTAGAAGTTGGTAGGAATACCACGAAATGTTGGAAAAAGAAAGTTTATGGGGTTTAGGTGATTTTTGTTGACCTGGTTTAGGTTTATATATTTGGTTGTTTATAGTCATGATGTGTTATATTGGTAAGGAGAAAGCCTAAGGTATTAATAGCAGTCGGTCATTTGATGTGACATATGCAGAAGGGAAATGGCGCAGACTGCAACATTGTGTGGCTTCTGCAAGAACCCCGATATTAAGCAAATAGCCAACCCGGTACCCTCAGTATGAAGAGACGTTTCACCATCCACACACATCACAAGAAATTCACGACAGCACCACTATTAAGGCCTGAGAAAAGGAAAGAAACCGGAAACCCGTTACTACAAAGGAAACAAGAGGTGATCCACTAATCCTACCCAAGAGAAGGTGGAGGAGTATGAACCGGGGGATAGGAGATCATATCTATTCCTATTAAAAAAACAAAAAAATCCGGGTTTGACTTCTACAGAGAATGAAGAATGAAGGCATACCTGTGAGTGGGGGAGGGGGGTAATAATAATAATAATAATAATAATAATAATAATAATAATAATAATAAAGTTGTAATTTGGAATAATTAATTTTTACCTTAGTTAAAGTCCGAATACTAACTTTTTCGGGTCATGTTAATGCTACCCGGTCAGTGGACCGAAAACGGAAAAAATCAAAGTAGATGGTACGATACCGGATGAAAAAAAATTAACAATGTCTTAGTACAAAATTAATAAAACCAAGTTAAATTTCATAGTAGAGACGAAAAAAGACATTGCAAAATTGAGGGGGAAATCTATGTATGTATGTATGTATCTATCTTGTCATCCACAGACAGACTGTTTCGCTGTATCACAGCTCATCAGTGTGGCTAGACGTCCGGTTGCCTCTAGCTAGGATTGGCGTCAGTTGGAGATTCTAAGGATTGGCGTCAGTTGGAGATTCTACCCTAACCCGTTGGCGCACGGCCAACGGCTTAGGGTAGAATATATATATATATATATATATATATATATATATATATATATATATATATATATATATATATAATATCTGAGTTGAGGTTTTGTAATTATTTACATTGTTCGGACTGTTGCCCTCATCTTTATTGCCATGTTCACGTGTTTTGGACGTCGTACACGCCGGCCTTCTTCAGGGGATTGGAATTTCGAACTGAACGCTTTATTTTGCCCACTGGGGTAGATTGTTCCAGTTTCACGTGCCATGTCTCTTCTTAATATCTCAGTTATCTTCTTTTAACTCGACTCTCCAATTTTTTGTTCACCTCTGCAGTAGCCAGGCATTGAACTCACTACTGGGTCCAACCAACGCTTTTATACACTGGGCCATGCGTCCTTGAGCATGACTAGTCCAATGAAGTCCTAAGGGATGAAACGCATCACACGAAAACTTTTTCTTCTTTGTCATATATTTTACCTCCAAAACTGTTCTTGGTATATAAAAATTTCGATAAAGATAAAATTTCATTATTTCACTAATTATTGAAGGGGTCAATTATTGAGGGGAAGATTGTGTTTTTTTTTTTTTGTATAAGGAATATATTTTTTTTATAAATGAATATGACGTATTAAAAATTAATTCTTGCAATAGCTGTGAAAGCAAAGTTGAAGGAAGAGGGCTTTGAAAATTTAACAAATCATATTGATGGCGGAACAGGAAGTAATTGCAGATTATGAGGATATGTAGGCTAGATGATGGTTGAAGAGGTTAAGATTGTAGTAATAAGGGAAAGCATCCCTCGGGAAGTCTGTTCCACAGATTAGCGGTTCTGAGTGAAACTCCTTATTTACTAAATAAGAAGGAAATGAGGATGATTTGTCTCTGTGGACGTAGTTTGGTAGATTCTAGCTGTAAAGGTCTGAACTAGTGGAACGAAGAAATGGCGGTAGACTTGTGATATTTAATCTATGGTAAAGGTTAAATAGGACTAAAAATAATGAATCGCCTACGAAGCCACGTATACGCTTTTCAATTCTGTCAAGTGTAGAAAGTGTGAATTGGGTAGCTCCAACCCAGATATGGCAAAAATACTCCATTTTCGTTCTGGGTCTAGTCTGACTCTTGTAAAGAGAAGGCGTGGTAGAAGGAATCAGGTATTTTCTGGAACGACCATTTTTTCTAGGACCTTTGCCGATGTATTGCGATATGAGTTCCACTTGAGTTCTGGATTGTCCCAAGAGAAGTTCAATATAAGGAACCTCATTGAGCGTATACATCGCTCATCATGACTGAAGAAAATTCTAGAAAATTTCTTTAAATATAATGATTCCATCAATATTCACACCTTCTCACAGGCATTAATCATTTATGTATAAAATATAAAAGTCCTTTAATATACAAACCTGTAAGTACTTGTTTTCTCAGCTTTGTCTGGCACAAGGTCGTAGCTATCGAGCCTCCATAAGATTCAGAATTACAACTGATGATCTACATGTCCGTTTTACTGGTACAAAGTTATTTTCTAAGCCTTGATTTTTGTGAGCACATATATGATGCATTCAGTGTGAATCGGACCACACCACTAATGATCTGCAAGTCCAGCCTTATGGCCAGATTTAGATGAACAGAATCCCTAGGCCATTTCACTTGCGAGGCCCCTTCAAAATTCTCACGAGTAAAGGAAAATAAAGTGTTAAATTAAACAATGATGTCGGGCGTTTAAAATTCCTAAGGGTTGTTTAGTCTACAATGACAGCGTGTGTAAGAATGGCCTATGACAGCGTCAAAAATATTATACACCTTGGCTGGAGGCCCCCTAGAGTTTGAAACCCTAGGCTATAAGCTTACAGGTAAATGCGGCACCGTCCAGCCTTTTGACTATAACATCACAATGTAGTACCAAATCTGTAGGTTTTTGTTCTTAGCACATAACTAGACAAATTTCATATGAAATAATACACTGGATGCTATCGTAACTTGACCAACAGTAGATTAGATATTACAAATTATAATGAGAGCATTAAAGGAAAAAAGAATACTGGCGATAAAAAAATAAAATTGTTGTGGTTCATATTTACTTTTTTTTTGTGAAAGAGAGTTTTGTTCTTGTGTCTGGAAAAGATCCCGCACAAAGTCGATAAAGAGGTCATTGGAACGAGCTTCCAGCTCCAGAGGACCTCCACCCCATTGCATTTAAAAGGCTTCAGGATTCGGTAATTTTTGCCATTTCGTACGTTTTGGGGGTCGCACATTAAACGCGACTTCGTGTCATATTTTCCACTGTGCGATATACAAGTATATGTAGATAACTGTAAAAATTCTTACTAAATTTAACTTGGCACAAGGCCTTAAAGTCTGGAGTCAATCTTTATCTTTCCTTATTATCTATCCTTTATTTTCTACCACGTCCTGGGCTTACGAACACATCACGTTGAAACACCGGTTCCCGTACGATCACCGAAGTTAAGCAACATTGAGTATTGTCAGTACCAAGAGGGGTAACCGCTTGAGAATACCAGGTATTGTAAGCTTGGATGTGCGGGTGGTGTAATGGATAATGATTCAGAATTGTTAATCGGAAAGCAGAGTTCTAGTTTCAGTTAGGTTCTTTATAATCATTTATGTGCAAATACCCTTTGAAAAAGTATGAATCTGTTTCTTCACCGCCAGCTATGCGTTGGTTAATAAAACTGGCATTACTAAAACCATTATTATCTCAAGTAAAGAAAAAATCCATATAAAATATATAATTTCAGCATTAAATAAATCCTTGGGGTTGATTTGCCGCTAAACACAAAAAAACTAACCGACTACACATCGTCTTTCATTTGTACATCACATTTCAGTCATCATAACAATTTGGATTAGTATTTGATGAAATTTAGTATTAAAAAAATTAGTTGATTACCAACTGCTTCATTGGCTTCTCTTTTATCTCTTGTCCCTTTCATATATCATATGATATTCACCATAACCATTCTGATATTATCCACTATCTTGAGTAACTCTCCAGCCTTTTTTGATGACATTTAGTATAAAACATCTTCTGGATGACCATCAGCCTTTTCGTTGCCTTCTCTTTAATCTCTTGTCCTTTCATTTATATATCACATCTCATTCAGCATAACCTTTCGAACATTAGCCCACTACCTTGAGATCTCGAGGCTTCTATTGAATGAAATTTAATATAAGACATCTTTTGGATCACCATCAGTTGCCTTCTCTTTAATGTCTCGCTGTCCTTTTGTCCCATTCTATAGTGACTGCTAGAAGGGACGAGACGCAAAGTCGGGACTGTAAAGCGGGGGGGGGCGGATTGTTGGATGATGCGAGGTTTTACCAAAAGTACTGCAGGGCAATTTCACTTCACACGGTCATTATGAGTGCGACGGTCACACAGTACAAAATTTTATTCACTTACGTCTCACTGACTAACCCCAAGGGTGTGTCTGTTCATGCATGCGCAGAAAGATCCCATCAGATGGATTAATTAGTTTTCTTTCGCGTCAAAATGTTTGGAGACTTTCCAGACATGCCTCTTACTTGCTCGCTGAGTGTAAAATAATCACCCGGCCATTTCTTTTAATAGGAAATAAAAAGATAATACAATTTTATTATTCCATATATTATTAAGCTTTTCAACTTTATCGTTATTAACCCTTAGTTTTTTTTTCGACATTTCTTCGAGGTGTTATTGCTACCTCGAGTGTCTCAAAGTGTCCGTAATCTATATTATAAATGAAGAGCTGATTTTCTGTCACACTGTCTGCGTATGATATTGAATTCGGGTATATAAACGTATTTCTGTGTTCTGCGAGCGTGACTTACATGTAGTTGTAACATTTAATATACACACACTAAGACGCTGAAATAATACATTCCCCACCTGATCAGTCTGAACAATCCCTACTCTGGGATGAACAATAAAATCATAAAATCGGCGACATGAAAAAGTAATTATTTTTTCACCTTAAAACATCGGATATTTTTTAATCATCTCATCCCAAGCAAAGCAGGACGCTCTATTAAGGAAAGAGAACCATAAAAGAACAAGAATCAAGAGAATAGAAGATTACGATTGACATTGCATTTAAATTATAAGATATTAATTGAACTTTTTGGAAAGATTTAAAAAATATATATTGAAATATTTTTACGTTTGTAATTGAAAGAAAATATACATGTGCATACTGAAACGTACATATACACAGCATTTGAATGGAATTGAAATGGTCAGCAGTATGTTGAAAGCTAATTTCCTGTTCTCTGTGATAACAAACTCTTTGAAGTCATTTTTATGCCTCCTGTATTTCTTAATCTTCGGGACGTGGACAAACATGGTTCTCCACAATTTCCTGTCTTTTTAGTAAATTTTGTCTTTCTGGTATCTCTCCTAATCCCTGTTGTGCCGGTCATTTACACAAACTGTTAGGCAGGGGTTATTCACTGATTTCCTTTGCCTCTCTTGCCTTCAGTAGGAACTGTGAGTGTCCAATTTTGTAAACCTTCTTTCCTCATTACGTGCCCTAGAAATTTCAACAGTCTATTTCTGTTATTATTTATAAGTGTCATTCTTGTTTATATTTTCTCTAAAAATCGTCATATTCCCATTTCGTCGTCGGCACCGGCTCGCATCCGATCATCGGGATCGTCATCCTCCCTCCTTATTCCTTTTTTCCTCTCTGTTGTAGGTGGCAGAGATAGCTGCGAAGACCCGGTCTACTCCTGAAGAGTTGTGAGCAAGAGTCACAGAGGTGTGTGGGTGGTAGACGAGACTGGGCGAGTCGGTAACTCCTGGCAGCACGTCACAGATCCTCTTCATGCTGACGGTTGGACTCGAAAGGAAAGCAGATTTGCAGCAACGGTTTCCCAGGTTTCAGAGTCGATATTGGACTGTGTCAGTGATGTTTTCAACTGGTCCCTTGAAGAGTCGTTTTGGGCCTCTGCGCAGCCCCTCTTGCCACTGGCCAGTTCTCCAAACAGGCTACTACGTGGGAGTTAAGTGGGATACATTCTGTACACGTGACCCGCCCAGCGGAGGAGGCGATGTTGAAGGATAGTAGCCGCGAGGCTGGGGATAGGTGTCCGAGAGAGGACCTCGTTGTTGGTGATGCAAAGGATTCTTCGGAGGTTTCTTTTGCTCTCATTCTTTGTTTAAATTGTTTGTCCATTTAAAAATCTACACCTAATAAAAAAGTATCCAATTTAGATGCTCCTGTATTTAAACTGAATATATTTTCTAATAAATCTAGTAGTTTAAACAGACAATTTAGATTTGAAAATTAATCTTGATGTCAGCGAAGCAACGAGTAAAGAAATGGAGATTTCGATTTTAGTTCAATGCCCCACAATTGTAGTCTTGTACTAAAACTAATCCTACCTTCGCTAATAAAGTGACTTTATTTATTAGCAGCCTTATTACTTTAAACAAAGACTGACAATATTTACAGCCGGATTAATGTCCTCGTTGCTATCACATTTCAGTCATTTACCGTTCTTCTTGAAGTGTCTTGTTCTAACTTTCAAGGACTTTTGAACTGAACCCTTTATTTAATCTTCGTGGGGTGGATTATTCTCACACCACTGTCCATGTCTCGGAGTATCACGTCCTTTTCTTTTTTGGTACTCTTCAGTTATTGCTCGCCCTCTTTCTACTTAGTTTTCAGTCTGTATTACTATTATCAATATGCAACCGTTTTCTCAGATTACAAAGAGAATACTAAATAGCAAAAACCACGTTATTTGAAGACTTCCAACAGTAGAAAAAAAGAAAACAGGTAGGCATGTAACTAGAAGAGCAAAAACATGATATAATCAAAGTGTTAATTTTCTATACGACTTTAAACAAAAGATTGGAACGGGAATTCCGATCAGTACTAGAAACGGTGATGACAGTGAATTGTGAAGAGTTTCTTTTCTTGAAAAGGTGCCTTAAAGTAAAAGAGTTTATAAATTTCAACTGACAATAACGTTGATTCTTCAGTCAATGGATGCCAAATATTACTTGTATGGAAACTGCACATCTCACCATTACAATTATCTAGCCCAGGGATTGAACTCACAATTCCTATGCCACAAAATTTGGGAACTATCGCTTTAATCCTCTAGGCCATAGTCCTGACTTAAGGGATGAATTGACTGATGGCTTAAGAGTCCATTAAGAGTCATGTGACAGCCCGTTGGTGGGAATGTTCAATAGCTACTTAGCACCCGAGGCAAGCGGATAGAGTAACAAGTTGTGGTTTGAATGATCGCAGAAAACAGTAGCTATTTCCATGGACCCTAAACAGTAATCTAAGACATATCACGTTTTGTACCGTGTCCCTATTAGGGACGTTATAAATAATACTTTTTTATTCGTCTTCACATTCTGTTTGCCGTTTTTTTTTTGTTTTAATATCTCTTAGGGACAATTTTTGAAGTACATATCTATACATCAAAAACATGTGACACTTCAGTCTCGCTAGTGACCTGCATAAAAGTGCACATATTGACCAACAGCGAGGATCTCGAGACACAGCAACAGGAATATTTGCTAACGCTTTTCACCGTTGTCTTCCGTCTCAGAGCCGGTCAATACGACTGATTTAGAAATTACTGATACCACTCTGGCACAAATATCGCCTGTTATTTCTTTCTCAAAGTTAGTATGAAGCACATTGATAGTTAAGTGGTTACTTTTTTTATCCTGGGTATGACGATAGAATACACATAGCAACAAGGACTCTGATCGGGATATTGGAGATTTTGAGGAGTGTAGAATCACCCCTTAATTGCTGTTCCTAGGTCTACCCTGACCCTGAGTTTTAGGTTAGGGTATATATATATATATATATATATATATATATATATATATATATATATATTATCTTAGTAAAAGATAAATAATATATATAAGCATATTTCTAATGGGGAAGCTGACTGAAGCAGCTTCTTTGTTAGATAAAAATGTTTAAGTCTTTGAAGGCAACGCCGTAAGTAGATGAGATTGGATCGCCCTTGTGTGTTTGTATTTTGTCATATTGGCGTTCATGGCCCTTGGTATCTTGAAGAAAATAATAGAAAGACTTCCAAAGTAATTTCTGTGAACTCAAGATATTCTGATCTTACTTTCATCCCCAAAATATAAAGAAATATTATAATTTCAAAAACAATCCTACATCCTTCATCGGGTATTGTTCTGGAATATTATGTAGTGAGTACGATCCTTATTAGGTGTTTCCATTATTGACATTGTACCAGACTATACTCAACTTAATAAATAAAGGTACTTTGTTGTGAGGCCATGGTTATTTTTTTAATCATTTCATCTCAAACAAAGCAATTAGGCCACTAAGACGCAAAGGATTACTGATTAGTAAAGAATATAAGAAAAGGAAAAACAATATTAAGGAGAGAGGACAATAAAAGAACAGGTATTAAGAAGGCCGAAAACAACAGTTAACATTACATTAAAATTTTTGAGGATCAAAATTGACTGGGTAGAAAGAAGCTGGAAGAAAGTTCGACAAGCGAAAAGTGCGAGAGAAGAAATAATTAGCATAGAAGTTACGGTTACATCTAGCCATTGAAATTGTAAAATGATGAGACCCTGCCGCCACTCTAGTACTGCACTTCAATTCCTAAAATCAATCCTCACTGCAGGCTCGGCGCTGCACATTTGTATTTGTTTAGAGCTCACAGCCTGTGATTTATATTACAACAATTGCTGAGCGAATCTCTGGCATAATCTGGCGTACTCAGTATGCTCAAACCCTCGGCCACGATGACTTGTGACTTCGTGCTTGCATAACCATGTAGTGAATTCTATATCTTATCTGCTATCGATCGAATTATATTTTTACCTAATTTCACTCATAAGGCTTGGATCAACCCGCACGCTGTGATTATATTTCCCCAGGCCAATATGACAAATCGACTATGGTGAGATGCGAAACCGGGTCCCATGATCGGAAAGCTAACGTTCTAATGTTTCATCCAAACCATTCATCCCAAACAAACAAACATAATAGAGTTGCCAACCGTCCCGCATTTTGATGACCCGCCTTAGCCATTGCCGGACACGTTTTCATCCGGAATTTTGATCTTGATGGATGCGTCTGCCGCATCATTTATTCGGAACACGTTTTCGTCCTCCATTTTAAGTACCGTTTATTCTTAAAAATGACGCGTAATCTTTTTTGTTTTTAGACATTTTTTCTGAATTGCTGTGTCAGTTTCATTTGATTATTTTGATGTTTTATTCCAAAGAATAAAACAAAAAATTGCTGATCTTGAAGGAATAAATATCAATATTAAGACACGTTAAAGAAGCGTCGAAAATATTTGTGCGATTTTAAAAAGAAAGTGCTAATGTAATGTGCTTTGTACCTGCAAAATACGACATGCGAAAAGATCGATTTTTCCTTTGACACCGATATTACGCTATATATTTTTGACTTCCTCGTTAATGTTTATTGTTTTTATAAAAGCGACGAGTAGAATTTTACCAAAACCCAAACATATGAAAATGTATTTGTACATTTTCTTTATTAAGATTTGACAACAAATATAATAGCCACTATTTGTTAGATTGAATAATTGAAGACTTGTTTTCATAGTTATTTATAAAATAGTAAATAATAAATATTGCATTGTAGTTACTTTAAATATTTTTTTAATTTTTTAATAAATTCTTTTCAAATTTATTACTTTATAAAATAGTAAATAATAAATCGTCATAAAAGTTGAATAAAAAATATCATAATTCACGTCGTTCACGTATTTTATCATCTTGTAAATAAACATTGCCGAGAGAATCAAAAGGTTATATAATAATAGCGGTGTCAAGGGAATAACCTTCCTTTTGACACGCCCCGCCTTTTTTTTACGGGGATGAAGGTTAATAATGCCCAAAATGTTACTTCATGTGTTTTATATTTTCTTAAAATGCAGTCCCGTTTCACTCTAAAATTTTAACTGAACTGTTATACCAACCTTATAAAATTGAGTTGTTATTCTGCACAGATCTTATAAAACTGAATTGTTATTTCGCATTGACCGTATAAAACTAAACTGTTATCTTGTATTAGCCATTCTTAAAGGCTAATCTGTTATTTGTGAAATTCTATAGCTCAAAAATATCAAACAGATTTATTTCAGTTTTGTGAGTCCGCATATCCCTGGTTGGGACCCTTTGTACAGGGTCCGTGGTCCTCCTGGTTGGGAAATACCAGCTCCAACCCCCGTCCAGCTTTTTCATTTTAGAGAGTTGGCAACTCCAAAACAAAATCAAAAAATCAAATATCTTAAGATGACATCAAATCGACGAGATAAACATGTCTATAAGGAAAAACACCTTGAACGCGCATGAGCGCGCACACACACACACACACACACACACACACACACACACACACACACACACACACACACACACACACAACCTTCAAATCTAAAACAAGCGAATTTGATCTCCACCTTTGGTCTACCATACTTGATAACATGGAGTTTATCCTTACCCACACAGTTCTCCTACAATCAGGCTCCTCTCCTACCTCCCCATCCAAGTTGGTTAGCAACTCACCCTCCCACCAACCTCTTTACCTACCGACCCACCCTCACCACTGTGTCCCACTCTACTGACATGTCACAAAAGGGAATGGATGAAGCAGAGCACTTCCATCGACCTATATTTCTACCCCTCTTTATATGTGCTGTCTGGTACTTATAAATTCTGCGCGAATTTCTTGTTCTACCAAGTTTTGTGTTAGCTGCAGAAGACTACGGCTGTCGCTCGTGTAACTTAGCCCGAACAACAAACTCCTCAGTTACAATGCTGATTACTGTTACTACTACTACTATCACTACTGTTGTTCCATCCATTGCTTCTGCTGCTGTTACGACGACTACTCTTTTTCGCGATTATAGACTTTAACGCGTTTTTCATTTGTTTCATTATTTTGTTACAGAGGCTGCTGCGACATCTCTCTTGAACAGTCACTATCATCGAAGCCTACCATTAGTTCGATCTGACCTTATTTTCATCTTACCAACTTTAATTTTAAAAGAAGAAAAAAAAAACAACAAAAAGTTATCAGACCGGCAAATTCAAGTCACTCGTTTTTATTACCGAAGCCATACGCAGTATTCACTCATCAATTTCTACGTTATCTTTTTCATCCCCTTATGCAAGTATTTACATATCTTCAGCTAAAGAACATACATATCAGGTTTTAATAATAAACTTTCTTTTTTTCTCCAAAGACAAATAATAGGGAAATAAAGATTTTGGTTTTTAGCTGATGATTACAAGAAAAACATGAAGTTCGATGATTTTTTAACCAATATTGGTGAGTTTGGCACTTACCAGAAAAAGATTTATTTATTGATCTGCATACCCGTTTTAAGCGTTGGCATCCAGGTAGTTGCGGCTGTATTCATTTTGGCTATTCCAGAACATAGGTAAGTTTAATTTTTTTTTTTTTTTGCTTAACCACCAAACCAACAACGGCATTCTTGTATCCTATGCAAGCCTCGGGCATTTAAACGGAAAGATAAAAAAAAAAAAAAAAAAAAAAAAAAAAGAAGTTATTTTTACCTTTCTTTGAGCGTAAAACTGCTAGAGCAGCCGGTTTCTTTATGCTACAAGCAGTTACAATTCTTTCGTCACCTCGTGGTCTCCGGCCCAAAGCCTCAATCTGAGTGCTAAATTCTACTTGTTTATTTTACAAAATAAAAAAAAAGCTTAAAGAAAAGAAAAAAAAACTTTTTTTCTTAAATCCGGAAAATCATGATACGACTTATCATATATAAATATATATACGCTTTTAAAATGTTACAGTCGCTAAAGAATTAAAATTAGGCCAGGTCATTACACTCCCTTACAGGTTACACTCATTTCGTTTCTTGATTTCTTACTGGACAAAAGAATTACTTATCCCCCCCCCCAGGCACCAGTGGTTGTTATTCGAGCACAGATTACAGCTATGATTTCAAATGCGTATTTTCAAGTTATGTTCACTTGAACAATTAGTGTAACACTGTCATTTTAATTCACGTTCCTTCTGCTTTTCTCCCTCTTACCATACAATTTTTTTTACAGTAAATATATCAACTCCCTCCTATGGTTGATAGTTGCTTATTTCACACAAGTGTTCAAGAAAAATCCCATTATTGGTGCAACATAATCTTCCTATCTCTATTTGGTTTTATTTTGGATTAAGCAAGTTCAGTAAATATTTCTTTATTAATTTCAAGCTTTAGTTTTACTTTAAAAAGCTATACTAAACCTTTGCTAAGTCCAGTCAAAATTGCCGTGCACCTAGTGAGAACTAAACTCATTTTAGTATCAACGAGGTCTGGAAGACTAGCTTGGTTAGAGAAAAATATTAAATGCAACGCCAATCGTTTTCTTCTGTTTCCTTGAATCCTGGTCTTTCAATGTCCTTAACGTTTTCTTAGTTTCTCTCGAATCCTCTAGTATCTTAGTGGCTTTATTGCCTTGTTTGGGGTCATATGATTTAGAAAAAATCTCTTGCTCTAGTTAGGTACCCTACTACAGGCTGTACTGAAATCTGTGTTCGAATTCCAGTCAGGTTCGTTATATTCACTTTCGTGTAAATAAGCTTGGGAAAGAATTTGAATCGATTCTTTTCCCCTTAGCTATAGGTTAAATAGTAGGTCATGTACCTGAAAAATCATTTTTATTCTCAAAAAATTCTTAAAACAATATTAACTCTAAAAAAAAAAAAGAATTTTCCCTCCAATACCAAATATGTTTCTTTTTTAAATAACTCATAAAGGGTTGATAAAACGTAAAAATAAAACAAACCAATCAAATGTACTGAGATTTAAAACGTTCTTTATAAGTGTAACTAGAAAACGCGTATGTGTTCAGTGGAAAATTAAAATTTCATTATCTCAAGTTTCATTTTGTTATCAAGTTTCATTCTCTTTGTACCGATTATTTTGTGTTCCGTTTACATGACATGAAAACATAATCTGGCTCCAGCTCATTAAAAACACACCAGAACATAAGCATTGATTACCGTTTTACTTTCATCTTTTTAAGCCATATCCTATGACCAACATTCGTTCGCCAAGGACTTTTGAAACGAACGAATGTTATTCATTTGATATTTTAAAAGATCTTCGTTATTTTTGTTATTGTTTCACTTGGGTCATATTGTCTTTAATACCAGACTAAGCTATTTGACTTTATTAACGATTTATAGAATAAAATTCTTATTAGAAAACAAAACAAAACATTTTCACTTGTACATAGGGCCGCTGCGTACTACTCCCTGACCAGGGGGAGGAGCTAAACCTGATTGGGGGCCCCGGGACGTGATTTGTGACCCTCACTATCTTATCAACATTTGCTTTTATTCTACCTACATTTATATACGTTACAAATTAAACTAAGCACAACTTCAAGGATGAACATTTTTTGCGGATTTTGATGGCATTCTGGAATCTTTTTTTTTTTTTTTTTTCGTCCAAATCCGTGAATTTTTGTTCATGCCAAGTCTCGAAAAACATTATGTAAAATTTGCTATTTTTTAAATCCATAATACTGAATGTGTTAAAATTATTCAACGTTTAACAAAAAAATCTCAAGTTGATGCTAAAAATTTCAACAAAACGTTTAAGATGTAATGATCTATTATGACATATCTCTGATTTTGTATTTAGATACATTGTATTTATTTTCAATTTTTCTAGTAGAATTGTTCACCTATATTGCATATGATCTATTATTGTACAAAGTTATAATCAAATTTGTATTTATATGAATACTACCTTATGAAAATTGAAACGTAGTATCATAGATTCGGAGATGGAAGCGGGCGAATCTTTCATCGGCCCGATAACCGAGCCAATTCGGCAGATAGTTTAAAAAGAAGTGAATATTGTGAGTTCGATCAAGAAATCGCCCATTAAAATATAGATACCCTAACTTTTTGGCAGCAAGATTACTTGTATCATTTGCCTGATATTCGTGACGAGTAATACCAAATTTACATTCGTATCAGGGTATATTAAAAATATTTATTTTTATATTTCAATTGATTCGAGCCTTGATAGTTTTCAAAAGCGTCTACACAGCCTTGTGGGTGATGAATTATTCTCCACTCTACAACCCCTTTCCCACAGACGAAGCATCGAACGCATCTCGCTACTCTATCGCTATTTACATGACAATTGTTCTGATGAGCGACATTCCTTAATTCCACCAGTTCAGACCTTTGCAGCTAAGACCCACCATTCCACATAGGCTCGAACTATTCTTATTCACTTTGTATTGCATTAGTAAAAAGGAAGTTCAATTCGCACAGCTTCTCCCTAAGAATAGCTACTTTGTGGAATAGACTCCTGAGAGAATGCTTTCCCGATCACTACAATCTTAAACTTTTCAACTCTAGAAACAACCGTTATCTTTCCTACATATCTTTCTATTCCACCCTCCTTATCCCTCCTGTTCTGTTCACACAACTTCATTCAGTGTAACCCTCTACCTTGAGTGGTTTTTGGGCCTTGTATTCCGTGAACAAATAATAAAAAATAAAACTCTTCTGAAAGTTTTCGAGCTTGGGTCCTCGTCTTGAGTTTTGAAACGTTATAATCAACAATGTCTGTCTCAATCTGGGCTTTATTACAACTGAAAAGTCACGGCGCTTAAATTAAATTCTCTTCCTGAATTGTACGGCTTTCTTTGAGGTACAGTTTAATATAATGCCTCAAACAGGTTAGAATTTCAATATTTGTATTTGTCATAACATGTGAAACAAACTCTACGACTGAATAGTATGAATAATTATGATAATAATATTAATTATATTTCCATTCAAGAAAATAAAAGAAGTAAGGGTAGTAATCATCTAAGATCGTTGTTGGAGAATTTGAAACAAAGCAAAATGGCTGGAAGAAGTGGGGAACAGATAAATCAACCCCTGCAAACGACAATAAATAAGAAGCTTGTTGTCACTTAATTTCTAATAAAAGTGGGCAATTATTGAATAAAAGTAGCGTTTGCCTAACAAAACTTTCAAAAAATGACACCAGCGAAACGGTTTCAATCGCAACTAAAGATTGTAACATATTTTTCAAAATCCAACAACATAGAATTTAGTTGAAAACAAAAAAAGACAAAAAAAGTATGTATTTGTTGATTTATTGTATAATCATAAAAAAATATGACAAACTGACAAGTAGAACAGCTTCGGTAATATAGAGGAATGTTTTATGGAATTATGTCATTGAAATTTACTGATAAAGTCGACTATTCGTGTCCGCGGGTTTCACATTCACACATTTTTAACTAAACGCGGATTGAAAAATATTCGAAAATTTTCCGTTTTTTTTTCTATTTTTTTTAAACCCTGAAAAGATCTACTAAAGCAAAATTTGAATTTACTGAGCACGAGGCTGTATCCACAGTAATAAAACAATGTGAAGGTAAGTATATCTTGTTATAGACACCTGCCATATTCAGAAACCTGAAATTTTCTTCAGAGATTGTTCTTTGGGCCTAATTTGTTTTTTGCTATTTGTATCATACGCACCTTTCTTCCTTTTTTTTTCATATCTTAAAATATCACTTGTGAAATAGGCATCGAAAATAATTCAATAATTCGTTCTTTTTAGTTGATTTTTTTCAATTTTTTTCCCCGAAAAATCTAATGTATATTAGAAATTTTTGCTTTCGATCGCAGGTAAACAACGTTTCACGATATCACTTTTCACATATTTTCGTCTCTCTAGAATATAAATTATATATATTCTATATAATTCTTTATTATTATTATTTACTAATAGCACAACATTTTTTAAAGATAAAATTTACTTTGATGTAGTCTGGGATTTTTCTCATTCATTGTTCATATCTCTTACATTTTTATATTCTGGTAGGGATTATATGCAATCTTGAGATGTTTTTAAAATATACGGGAAGATTTGCGCAAGTTTAGTTGGGTTTGAAATACTCTGCCACTTATGCCTAAGAGAGTTTGGCATCCGTGAATTTAAGTGCCTGCAGGAGGCTACTGGAACTTATCCTCTTCGGTTACCGAGAGAAGAAAACAATGAGAAAGTTTAGTTGTAGTTGTTATTATGGTAACAATAATTTGTCAGTTACGATAAGATTTCCTTCTGATATTTTAAATAAGGAAAAACGGAAGTAGAAAAGAGAATGATCCCGATAAAAATAACAGATCAAATAAGAGGCCAGAAAACTGGATTTAGTTATAGTAATAAACAAATAAATTAAAGCTTGCCACGTTGTGGAGACATCGCTGTTACAATAGACGTCGGAGAAAGGTTTGAGAAAAGATAGATAAGAGCTGAAAAAATTGTATAATATGAAAGTAACAGTTTCGCCATCATTATTGAAATACTTGTAACAAACCTGACATGTTGGAAGAATTGGAAAGCAGAAGAATCCTTCATCCGTAGAATGGACT